ATCATGACGATGTTATATATGGTGACGGAGACATCATGACGGGTGTTATATGTGGTGACGGAAACATCTTGACGGATGTTACATGTTGTAACGGACTACATCATTACGTTGTTATGCATGGTTGGGGAGACATCTTGACGGATATGAAATGTTGTGACAGCAGATTTTTTATGGGTGCGGATGTTGTGGCGGAGACATCGTAACGAGTGTTACTCATGATGATCGAGACATTATGCAGGGTGTTACATGTTGTGAAGGGGACAACATGACGAGTGTTGTAATGTAGTGACGAAGACATCATAACGATGTTATATATGGTGACAGAGAAATCATGACGGGTGTAACATGTTGTTACGGAGACGTCATGATGGATGTTCATATTATGACGGAGATATCATGATGGATGTTCATATTATGACGGAGATATCATGACGGATTTGACATGTTGTAATGGGGACATCATGACGGGTGATACATGCTGTGATGGGGACATCATATCAGATGTTACATGTTGTGATGGGGACATTATGACGGGTGTTCCATGTGTTCGATGGGGTACGTAGACCTCGTAACAGATGTTACATGTTTTGATGCTCACATCATGACGTGTGTTACATGTTGTAATGGGGACATTATGACGGGTGTTACATGTTGTAATGGGAACATCATGGCAGATGTTACATGTTGTAATGGGGATATTATGACGTGTGTTACATGTTGTAATGGGGACATCATGACGGGTGATACATGTTGTGATGGGGACATCATGACGGGTGTTACATGTTGTAATGGGGGCATTATGACGGGTGTTACATGTTGTAATGGGGACATTATGACGTGTGTTACATGTTGTGATGGGGACATGATGACGGGTGTTACATGTTGTGATGGGGCGTTATGACGGGGGTTACATGTTGTGATGGGGGCATTATGACTGGTGTTACATGTTGTGATTGGGACATTATGACGGGGGTTACATGTTGTGATGGGGACATTATGACGGGTGTTACATGTTGTGATGGGGACATCATGGCAGATGTTACATGTTGTAATGGGGATATTATGACGTGTGTTACATGTTGTGATGGGGACATTATGACGGGTGTTACATGTTGTGATGGGGCGTTATGACGGGTGTTACATGTTGTGATGGGGACATTATGACTGGTGTTACATGTTGAAATGGGGACATCATGACGGGTGTTACATGTTGTAATGGGGACATTATGACGGGTGTTACATGTTGTAATGGGGACATCATGACGGGTGTTACATGTTGTAATGGGGACATTATGACGGGTGTTACATGTTGTAATGGGGACATTATGACGTGTGTTACATGTTGTAATGGGGATATCATGACGGGTGTTACAAGTTGTAATGGGGACATCATGACTGGTGTTACATGTTGTAATGGGGACATCATGACTGGTGTTACATGTTGTAATGGGGACATTATGACGGGGGTTACATGTTGTAGTGGGGACATTATGACGTGTGTTACATGTTGTAATGGGGACATCATGACGGGGGATACATGTTGTGATGGGGACATCATGACGGGGGATGCATGTTGTAATGGGGACATCATGACGGGTGATACATGTTGTGATGGGGCAGTCATGACGGGGGTTACATGTTGTGATGGGGACATCATGACGGGTGTTACATGTTGTAATGGGGACATTATGACGTGTGTTACATGTTGTAATGGGGACATCATGACGGGGGTTCCATGTGTTTGATTCATCATAACAAGTGTTCGATGCGGTACGTAGACCTCGTAACAGATGTTACATGTTTTGATGCTAACATCATGACGTGTGTTACATGTTGTAATGGGGACATTATGACGGGTGTTACATGTTGTAATGGGTACATCATGACGGGTATTACATGTTGTAATGGGGACATCATGACTGGTGTTACATGTTGTAATGGGGACACCATGACGGTTGATACATGTTGTGATGGGGACATCATAACGGGTGATGCATGTTGAAATGGGGACATCATGACGGGTGATACATGTTGTGATGGGGCAGTCATGACGGGTGTTACATGTTGTGATGGGGACATCATGACGGGTGTTACATGTTGTGATGGGGACATTATGACGGGTGTTACATGTTGTAATGGGGACATCATGACTGGTGTTACATGTTGTAATGGGGACATCATGACGGGTGTTACATGGTGTGATGGGAACATCATGACGGTTGATATATGTTGTGATGGGGACATCATAACGGGTGATGCATGTTGTAATGGGGACATCATGACGGGTGATACAAATTGTAATGGGGACATTATGACTTGTGTTACATGTTGAAATGGGGACATCATGACTGGTGTTATGTGGTGACGGAAACATCTTGACGGGTGTTACATGTTGAGATGGGGCGTTATGACGGGTATTACATGCTGTGATGGGGACATTATGACTTGTGTTACATGTTGAAATGGGGACATCATGACCGGTGTTACATGTTGAAATGGGGACATCATGACCGGTGTTACATGTTGAAATGGGGACATCATGACTGGTGTTTGTTGTGATGGGGACATTATTACTGGTGTTAAATGTTGAAATGGGGACATCATGACCGGTGTTACATGTTGAAATGGGGACATCATGACCGGTGTTACATGTTGAAATGGGGACATCATGACTGGTGTTTGTTGTGATGGGGACATCATCATGTTGTAATGGAGACGTCATGACAAATGTTACATGTTGTAATGGAGACGTCATGACAAATGTTACATGTTGTAACGGGGACATCATGACGGATGTTACATGTTGTAATGGGTACATCATGACTGGTGTTACATGTTGTGATGATATATGTTGTGATGGGGACATTATGACGGGTGTTACATGTTGTGATTGGGACATTATGACGAGTGTAACATGTTGTGATGGGGACATTATGGCGGGTGTTAAATGTTGTAATGGAGACGTCATGACAAATGTTACATGTTGTAATGGGGACATCATGACGGATGTTACATGTTGTAATGGGGACGTCATGACGGGTGTTACATGTCATGTTGTGATAGGGACATTATGACGGGTGTTACATGTTGTAATGGGGACATCATGACGGGTGTTACATGTTGTAATTGGGACATCATGACGGGTTATACATATTGTAATGGGGACATCATGACAGATGTTACATGTTGTGATTGGGACATATGTTGTAATGGGGACATCATGACGGGTGTTACATGTTGTGATTGGGACATTACGACGGGTGTAACATGTTGTGATGGGGACATTATGGCGGGTGTTAAATGTTGTAATGGAGACGTCATGACAAATGTTAAATGTTGTAATGGGGAAATCATGACGGATGTTACATGTTGTAATGGGGAGGTCATGACGGGTGTTACATGTCATGTTGTGATAGGGACATTATTTACATGTTGTGATGGGGACATTATGACGGGTGTTACATGTTGTAATTGGGACATCATGACGGGTGATACATGTTGTGATGGGGCAGTCATGACGTGTGTTACATGTCATGTTGTGATAGGGACATCATGACGGGTGTTACATGTTGTAATAGGGACATCATGACGGGTGTTACATGTTGTGATGGGGACGTCATGACGGGTGTTACATGTCATGTTGTGATGGGGACATCATGACGGGTGATACATGTTGTAATTGGGACATCATGACGGGTGATACATGTTGTGATGAGGCAGTTATGACGGGTGATACATATTGTAATTGGGACATCATGACGGGTGATACATGTTGTGATGGGGACATCATGACGGGTGTTACATGTTGTGACGGGGACATCATGACGCGTGTTACATGTTTTGATGGGGACATTATGACGGGTGTTACATGTTGTGATGAGGACATTATGACAGGTGTAACATGTTGTAATGGGGACATCATGACGGGTATTACATGTCATGTTGTGATAGGGACATCATGACGGGTGTTACATGTTGTAATAGGGACAGTATGACGGGTGTTCCATGTGATGGGGACATCATGACGGGTGATACATGTTGTGATGGGGACATCATTACGGGTGATACATGTTGTGATGGGGACATCATGACGGGTGTTACATGTTGTAATGGGTACATCATGACGGGTATTAAATGTTGTGATGGAGACATCATGACGGCTGATACATGTTGTGATGGGGACATCATGACGGGTGATACATGTTGTGATGGGGACATCATGACGGGTATTACATGTTGTGATGGAGACATCATGACGGCTGATACATGTTGTGATGGGGCAATCATGATGGGTGATACATATTGTAATGGGGACATAATGACGGGTGTTACATGTTGTAATAAGGACATCATGACGGATGTTACATATTGTAATGGGGACATCATGACGGGTGTTACATGTTGTAATAAGGACAGCATGACGGGTGTTACTCTTTGTAATGGTGACATTATGACGGGTGTTACATGGCATGTTTTGTTCTGAGCCATGATTGAATAACAGTGTCTCTCGATATTTTATTCAGATCCTTGTTTTGATAAAAGTGTATCTCGATACTTTGTTCTGAGATGTATTTGAATAAAAGTTTGTCTTGATAAAGGCCCAAATCGAAAATTATTTCATTTACTCCCAACAGTAATGAAAAACCTGCCACTTTAAAGTAACATTTCTTTTTAAATTAAGTGTTTTATACGTATTGTAAATACTGTTAATAAAGGTTCACCGTCTTATAGAATATAAATTGATTAAATGTTACATTTTATTATGTATACGTCTGTTTAACAGATAAACTAGTTACAACGTTTACTATTGAATGTACCTATTTCGTAAAAAAGGTAGGGTTGAGTACGAAGGTCTGAAAACCGAATGATTTAAGACCATTGATAAAATTGCTTTAAACAAGCTGGGTTTTTACTTCCTTGTTAAGGTAGTATTACCATTGATAAAATTGCTTTAAACAAGCTGGGTTTTTACTTCCTTATTAAGGTAGTATTTATTAACACACACAACGTTTATATTGTATCCTTACCTCAGCATGACCTGGCAGAACGTTCGGTAGAGTTGTCGGCTGATAACCACTGCGGTGAGTATCGATTTATATAATGATTATCATCCTCACAGCAGCGGAAGGTCCGGAGAATCGATCATCTTGTGATTTTTTTAATTTTTGAATCATTTTACTCTCACAAAAAGTGTATCACATTATAAGCAAGGGCGGGTAGACTTTGTAAGAAATGTGTGTGCCAACACGACTTGCCAAACAAGTAATGTACGTGTGCGGAATATGTAGCCATCTAACCGTTTACATGCCCTATATTACCTAACATAGATTATGCTAACAAAGAGTGCATCTGTTTATGATCAGTTGCCATTTGCATGGGTCTTAACTGGAAAAACAATGGCGAGTGCTTCACATTTATTATGCTTGTTTATCGGAAAAGTATACAAAATATCTTACCATTTAACCTTTTCTAGATGTGGTGCGTGTGGCTGATTGCGCCAAACAAATCAATAATACAACTTTTTGTTATAAGAGTTAGGTTGTAAACAAATATTCTCTCAGCTTCATTATCTTCAATATACTTTTATTCAAACTGTCTTCTTTAAGAGTTTAGCTCAATCGAAAATAAGTAGTAATTACAAAATATTCGTATAGGGCCCTTATGTTCGCAAACGATAAACAAATAACCAACAATATTTCCAAACACGAATCGGTTTGTTTCTAGGTAGAATTTCGTTCATTTTGACCAATTAGTTTAATTGTTTATACCTTTATATATATATATATATAATATAAAAACATGAAGACTAAAGATTGTTTATAGTTTTATAAATATATGAATATTAAATCCTTTGCTATATAGATTGTCATTCCCGGTACATTTGAATCGTCCATTGAAATATTTCCCCATTTTTCTAAAGAAAGACACATCTCATCCACTCATGATGCCGATACTGACATTAATGCGGTCACATAATTGATCGTTACAAAGGTACATAGATACTAAAATGTTTTAGTAAATTCCTGAAATTTATACCCGGATTCCGGATCTATTTTTTGTAATACTCTTGACCGGAAGTTGAATAAAGCATGTGAGTGAATCGAGGCAGCCGTCATGTTGTGAAGATATTAAATATACCTACTAATCCATTGCTTCAGATGGAGTCACAAGTTCGTCAGCAGACACAGCCAAGGATACTGGTGAGTCATGCTATAAACTTGCTTTTATCATTACCGATACCTGGTTCGATAGTTAACACATATATAACTATCCATAAAACGCTGAGAAAGTGTCAGTTCTTACATTTCTATTTTAAGGGGAGAATATCCTATTTATGATATTGAGACATACGAACACAGTTAACGCTTCAGTACTTTTGTTGTTGTTGTTCTCGGTTATTTTTATTTTAAAAGATATTTCATCAATAAAACATTCCGATTGATATTCAAACCCAACATACTATAATAAAAATATTATGCTGACAGCCATCAAGTTGTTAAGTTGTTATGTATTACAGAAAAGAGACCTGAAGAACAGTCCATACATTTTGGTGGCAGAATTGGACTTCGGCACAACCTACTCGGGGTACGCATTCTCATCACGGCTGGAGTATACCAAAAATCCATTGAATATCAGTACACTTGTATGGCAAGCAGGATCCGGAAATCTCGCTTCCCTAAAGACCTCTACGTGCGTTCTGTTTAAACCAGACGAAAGTTTCGACACGTTTGGTTTTGAAGCCGAAGACAAGTACGCCAAGCTGATAGACGACGATAAGCACCATGACTGGTTCTTTTTTAGACGCTTTAAGATGTCACTTTATGAGCAAAAGGTAAATAAGTACTTTATTTACATTGGTTGTATACATGATAGTAACAAAGATACATTAACCATCCAACTGAACCTAATTAACTCTTAACTATATATGTTAATTAGATATGTTAATTAGATATGTTAAAACGTATGTTTTAGGATATCACCAGATCCATGAAATTGTACGCACAAAATCAGAAACCAATGCTGGCAATGAAAGTGTTTGCGGAGGCAGTAAAGTACCTGAAGGACCATCTCCTTGGTACCTGTGAGAAGAGGGGGCTAGAATTGCTGATGTCTGACGTCAGATGGGTCCTGACAGTGCCCGCTATTTGGAATGACCGGGCAAAACAATTCATGAGGGAATGCGCTCAGCAGGTAATCACCAATAACCTTTTTTTCGAGTACATTTACTATCTTATGTGTATAATTATCGTCATTACAACAATCTTTCACTACATTAAGTATTTCACTTCTTACATATCACAACATTATTTTCTGACTCGTGTCACATGCACCCTTAAAAAATGTAACATGTCAACGTTAAGGTGATATCATTTTCGTTGTTATGGTAAACATATGTATTTGAAAGCTCCTTAAAATTATATAAAAAGCATTTAAAATTGAGTTTTGAGCATTTATAAATTTCAAAAACAATAATAATATCGTTGTTTAGGCTGGTATCCCAGGCTATCAACTCGTTCTGTCGTTGGAAGCCGAGGCAGCTGCTATGTTCTGTAAATACCTACCGCTGAAAGACATGTCTGTTGGAAAAGGGGGAGACAACCTGGTGGTGTTTCGACCTGGGTCGCGATACATGGTAGTGGATGTTGGTGGTAAGAGTTAATGGAGATGAAGGTTAAATTATGTTGTTATACCGTATCTATAGAAACGATAACCAGCATTACCGGAATAGGAACGGACAGAACTCCTTTTGTTCGCCTTGACGCACGCTCAACACAAAGGCCAATAGTTAAGGTCACGAAAAGTTAGAAAAGAGAAAAAAAATATTTCATGGAGATGATGAAATCCGATTGGTCAGGCACGATTTGCTTATTTTCTCAGCCGTTTGACTTTTCTGATTTCATTTTTCATATGATGATCCATTGTGTTATCCTAAACGATGTATTAATGCATAACAGACTAGAGTTATGGTGTATATTGACCGTTGTTGCCATATATGTATTCCATTGGCGTTGTTTTCGTCACATACGGCTGTATTGTGCAATAATGACATCCTATTATTTATTCGCTTACAAACCATTTCCCGAATATCTAAAAATCTTTTTAAATTCACTTTTTACCGAGTGTGAAATTTTAATATATATCAATACCCAGCATGATAAAAACAGGAATTGTTACAATCCACTAGGGATCCCTAACCACTGCCAAACCGGTTAGACTATCAATACAACGGATTTGAACCCTGTAGTTTATATCATTGTACCGCGAGCTAACTAACCCTTGCCCGCGGTTGGACAGGGATAAAAAGTATTGAGTACTTTTGAACAATTTTTTATTTTACTTATAATTTTGATATCAAATGGGTGAATTCAAAATGAATGACTTCTTATCTCAATCAATTTGATTGACTTGGATGCGCTTTATCAGACAATTGAACTATGCATTGATTTTTTTATCATATTGACATTGAGTTTCTTTTGATTTATTCTTACGAGTTGTTACTGTGATATATTGAACTCTACTTGTTTACACTACAGGAGGAACCGTTGATATCACTGTACACGAGGTGCTGCCAGGTCTGAAGCTGAAAGAGGTGTACATGGCAAATGGAGGGGACTGGGGCGGGACCATGGTAGACAAGGAGTTTGAAATGCTTCTTTCTGAAATCTTGGGAGCTGATGTGTTTAACGACTTCAAGCAAAAACATGTTGCAGACTACCTGGAGCTACAAAGGTCTTTTGAAACTAAGAAAAGATCAATCTCATCAGCGACTGATGCAAAAATTACGTTTACTCTCCCAATCAGTCTGATGGACACTTTTGCCGATATTCATCCAAATAAAACCGTCGAGGAAAGTATATCCTCTAACAAGAAGTATTCAAATAACCTCACATGGAAGATGGATAGACTGCGAGTCAAGTCTGAGCTAGCTCAAACGATGTTCCGACAATCCGTCCAGAAGATTATTGACCACGTGGTAGAGCTGATGAAACACCCAGAGGTAGAACAGGCTCAGGCCATCCTCCTCGTCGGCGGATACTCGGAATGTCTTCTACTACAGACGGAAATTTCCGCCAAGTTCCCGGACAAGCGTCTCGTCATTCCACACGAGGCTGGCCTTGCTGTGCTGAAAGGTGCCGTCATCAACGGTCATGAGCTAGACACGATCACGGAAAGGATCAGTAGGTTTACATATGGCACAGAATTAATAGGTGATATATTCAGTGTACATGCACAGAAAGGACAGTCTCTTCCTGTATGGAACAGTTTAGAAACCAAACATTATTATGTCGTACACGCCTTTCAAACAGTGATGCGGTTTAATATCTACATTTCGCCCCACCCATCGCCCAAGTATGTTACTGACGAGGGTTGTGAGTGTATTGGTTCACTTGTAATTGAAATGCCCGACACCAGCAAAGGGCTGAATAGAGGAGCAGACGCCCAGTTTACATTCGGTGGCGCGGAGATAGAAGTCCAGGTCAAGGACAGAGATTCGGCTGAGGAAAGAGTAGCTTACCTCAATTTTCTTGGGTGATAATGTGAATTATAGGGTTCAATATTTAGCTAAAATGTGTTGTAGTCTAGTGTTGTCCCTTATTGTTTCTGAGAGTTTTATTTATTCTAACATCACGTCAAAATTAACAGACATTATAAAAAAACAAATGATTTTCGTTAATAATGAAAAAATAAAGTTCAGTTTTTTAAATCGGCCATGGATTGTAGACAAATGGTCATTACATAAATGTTCTCGGGGTAGCACTCGTCATCAATTTTACAGGACTAAGGTTAGAGCTGTGTTGAGTGTTACATGTATATCATAGTCTTCCTATAACATAGAAAAGCAGGTGACAAAGGGAGACATTTACATACAGTCCCTTTCTGGGTCTCGAATTCATTAACTACATCACCAAACCCTTGAAATATCCAAAGCGCCTACCGTTACATCACCCCGACCCGTTAGGTGTCATAGGTCATGCATATGAGGTCCTGACAGTGCACAGGTCTTTAAAGTTAGTGTCTTTAGTCACTTGTATTTCTATTATTTATCCAATTAATAAATAATGTATCGTATACATTAGTGTATTTTAATCCGATGGTTTAAGCTATGAACTTTTAACTTAAAATGTCTTTGTCTAATGAGTAATAAGTATGTCTAATTATATACACTATAAAAGTTTACACTGTAAATCATCTACAGAGATTCAACTTTTAGAATTGTCTACACAGTTGTAGGTCACCAACAGTTCGTTATGTCCATACTTCTTTTAACTCGTAACTAATATTGTGTGCATCACTCCACCTTAATTCCATTGTTTTAACCTCTGCTTTTCTTCAAGGAATGATTTCGAAAAAAAATCATGATTTTATCAAACATATCACGAGAAATATAATATAGGAGTGTAGGTATCTGTCTATTAAGTTTTGCTCAAGTTGCATCAATTGTTTAATACTTAGTGTTTTAAATGAAATCTTACTGTTTTATTTTCCAAAGAACTTCAAGAGAAAAAATTAAAATATGAATTAGCCACATGTTACCGCATCTATTCGTCTGTAATATAACCTGATTTGTGATTTTGAATCCAAATTATGTACCAAAAGGTTGACCATTTCTATCCTATTCTACTTATATATGATGAGTTATTTTCGTCATCGCTTGCCAATTTATTAATGAAGTGCCGAATTGAAATAAAATATGCTATAATATTTTATACTGATTTTGAGTGTTACATTTATATTTATTGAAACTTCACGTCAAAGTGAACATTTACAATATCAAGAATCCAGATGTTCAAGTTTAAAAACTTTGACCCGGTATATTGTAGACAAATAATTTCACGCGGTAGAAATACTTACATACTGTTAATAAACTTGTGGTGTGTACCGTATCAATGTTTTAGTGACTAGTATTGTATACATCATCATCCATCAACAAAGGCTCCATTTTAATACAGATGTAGGTCATCATTAAGGCTACAAAACTGATACACGCATCATATGCATAACTGTTCACCAATGCCACTGTTAAGACATATACATTATCGTCAATGGATGCATACTTAAACTTTTTTTGAATTAAAAAACAGCACGAGAAATACAAAGTGAGCGGGGGAATCTGATGAGATTTGCCGAGTTGCTTTCGTTGAATTGATTGCTAAGTTAACGAACTCAATAAGGTATCTTTGTTTTAACTTGTCATATGTGTATTGTAAACGGGCTACTGCATCTATCCAGTGTAATGTGATCTATAGTAAATTAAAAATGCTTAAAATTAAATAAAAACTTGGCCTCTTCCTATCCTGTTATCACACAGCAAATACTATGGTAAGTATATGGTAGTGGGATTTCAATTACATTTAACTTTTTGGTGTCGACGAGTTATATTCTGTTCCCATATATTTAAATAATTTATTGCGAAAAATGATTCCAGGAAAATCGGATGTGGCGAGCGGACGGACTGACAGGCTGCTTGGTCCATATTAATTACACTTTACGATATACAATCTGCAGCGTTAAGGGGCATATATTGGATATACTGCAACATAAGTACACTAAAAGTATATATATACCTGTTGTAAATACTATACAAATATGTATTCATCGTTTCTTTTATTAATCATTTATATAAACTATAACAGAAAGATATACCACAGATCCAATACACAAACAGGAAGCAAACAAATAGAGAATTATGAACTTCGACAAAAACAAGATTGAAACCAGTTCTTCCTAAATTGTACTGGTTTTTGGTATTTTCCTAATGTTTTCGATAACCAGTATAATAAGTAGATAACCGACTATTAATGAATCAATATTGATTGCTAAGTTGGATGTTCAATAATTTTGCATCACAAATATTTCCGTAATATTGATTAAACCATCTAAGATAGCAATATCTATCTATATAATTTATAGGTAAATATGACAACGCATCTAACTATAAAATATAGATTTATCTTGCACAGATTCTAGAGTTGTATATCAAATGACTGGTGTGTTACTGCTGAGAAAAAGAAAGTTAAAAGTCGTGAGTTAAAGTCATGAAGGTTGTCGTACAGTTTGATAGCTAGGTGACCATTTCATCATACTGTAACGTAATACACATAATACAGTGTTCCTAGTGGTTGGCTTTTAAGGCTGTTTGCTCCACTTTGCATGTGTTGTTTACATTTGTATTAAATTTGCTGTATAAAATATAATATAAATCCCGTGAAAAACAATGTTTTAACATTTAGAGTGAGAAACAACACTCGGAGTATTGAAAATGGTAACTAAAATGTGTATTTCTGTTTAGTCAATTGATAAACAACATGAAAAATGCATACAGATGTATTACTGATAATTTATGCTGCGAATCTTTATAATATAGAAAAACAAAAATACACTACATATAAGCCTATTCCATAAAAAATGGGAAATGTAGCCTACATGTATATACTATATATAGTATTTATCAAGGAGCAGCATACCTTTGTTTTGTGAATATCGCCTTTTGAATTCTTCCTCCTGCATTAAGGCCATTCCTTCGTAATGTATGTAGTTCAGTGATGGATATCTAGCGTTAACAATTGGTTATCTTTACGAGGCCTAGGGCACTTCAGAATTCATGTTCATTTAAATTGTACAGTTTCAAAAGATGTTAAGTTCCGTGTAAAAAAAAAAAAAAAGGTATTGAGCTGAAAGATTAAGGTATAGAGCTGAAAGTATAACTGCGAGTTATTTTTATCAACACCATCTAGAGCAAATCCTCAAGCATCCTGATTCTTAGTCTATAAAACAAGCAATATCGATCACTCGTCAATGTCATTAATATTATGGAAGAAAGAAGTCCCACCTTTCGGGATCAATGTTAATCATGTTATCGAAATTTTATTAGATTTTATTTTTGAACCTTAAAAGAACATCTCATAAAAAAAATGTTTCTTTGTAAATGCTGAAATTTAATTTATTATAGTTAGATTGACACGACACACAAGAGTAAGACGTGATGAAAGTTCATACTTTATCAGTGTTTTCTAATTGTATCCCATTAATAAATAAAGTGTTCGAAATGTTTTTGCTGTACCTCTACTAAGGATACAATATATAAATAACATCACGAAATCAGCATCTCCCCATGATCATACCTTAGCTATTTATATATACCGCTTTAGCAGCAACACAACATTTGATAAGGTAACCACTGGAATTGAAATACAAAGGGTCGGGCAATGTCCAATGTGTTTACATCTTTACTAAAAGAGAAATGACGTTTATCATAAGGTCGTGAGCTTTTTGCAGTTGCGAAAAGCAATAATACTTCTTAATCCATAGTGGCTGTTTTACACAACGCACCTTTTTTTTCATCAAAAATGCAATAACACTACATACAACTGGATTGAAAGTTTTCACATTCGTGTTATATATTCTGGCGATCGTGAATGAATCACTGGATCGCTTTCTGTTACCTGTTCGTTCTCCTCTATATCGACCAATGTTGATTCCACGTTCTCCGTGGCAGTGTCCATTCCCTGGTTAACATGTGGTGTTAGTGAGGTTACTGTAGCCACATTCGGTGACACAGCTGCTGGTACAGGCGATTTAGATGAATTCACTTTAGAATTGTTTAGCATTTCACTTTTTACCGTTTTGTCACCATGGGTCAACAGTTTTGATTTGTCAGGGTCGTTGGTATCATTGGTACTGTCTGATACAACATTGACCTCTGGTTTGACTAATTCTCCTTTCCCTTTCTTCATCCATTTCATGGCTATTGAGTGGGCTTTGACTGTCGTTTGGATGGACGGCTGAGACCTTGGGGATTTAAACACTATTTTATCCAGCTTGTCAACAACGTCACTGAAAGACATCCGAAGCGCCGATGCTCTTTCGACAACATTTTCTGGCAACGTATTCTTTGTTTTCTCTTGCATATGCCTATTATGGGACAGATATATAATCGGCTTTATACAGAAACTGAAGAGGGCGACAATGACCGTGACGGAGTAGTAGCCCCTCCAGAATTCTGAGTCGTTGACCCCCGCGTGTCTAAACAGGACAATGAAGTAGGGCAACCACAGCAGCAATAGAACAACCCCCATGATCATGTACGTGACTGTCAGGTGGAAATCGGGATCCTCGTAATCGTCTTCAAGTAGACGCTTGTCTCTCCGTTTCGGCGTTCTAGCACGTCGTTTTCTGTTTTTCATCTGCTTGTTCTTCGGTTTTTTGTCTGCTTTTCCAGATGGTTGCTTACTGTCTGTCCATCCGTGTTTTGCAACAGGAGCCGACAGTTTTGATTTCTCCGATTTCTTTTCCAGATTGATGTTTTCGGCTTCCATTTCTTTTTTCTCCTCTGCGATGGCTTCCAGTCGTCTCTTACGGCGGAGCTCTGCCTCTATTTTAGCTGCTTCTGTATTTTCCTTGTGGATTTTTGCCTTGCGTGATTTTAAAATGATCGGAATGCAGATGACACCAGACAAAATGGCAGCTCCTATCCCGGACATAAACAATATAATCACATAATAAATGTTTGATTCATGATAGACAATACAACTTCCATGATAGAAGTCGTAGTCTATAGGACTCCATCCGGACATAGGAATGGCAGCGATTCCCAGATCGACTCCCCATATTAGAAGTGAAACTACGGTAACTTTAGAAACTTTTCCAAACACTTTTCCGTGTAGTTTCGGATTCTTCACTAAGACTGTCCTCTCTATGAACAACGTGATGATAAACCCGAACATAACCAGGTATATCCAGTTCACTAGGATGGCCTGTGCGTAACATACGGGCATGGTGAGGTCCCATTGTCCCCTTAAGGCAACCACCGCGCCGGGGATGAGAATGAACAGCCATGCCAGGATATCGACAATAATCAACTGGAACACGAGTCTATTGGCAGGATCCAGGAGCAAACGTTTCTTTTTGAACATGACTATCAGTAATATGTTGAGGATAATACTTACGAGAAGTATCGTTAAGTCGACCGCTGCCGCAAACTTCGGCATAACGTCCTTCGAAAACCAATTAATGAACGCTCCCCCAATGGAGGTTCCTATGTTGGAACTCATTGTGAGGTGCTTCGTTTGTCCGTCAATGCGCCAGCAATATTTTTGGGTATTTCGGATTAATTGAAGATCTTCCCATTTGACTTTCGCTGTTAGATGTTTAAAATGTCATCAAGTACACAACGGTTCATTTTATAATACGTCGTTCAGATAAATCCGTTTACGTACGTAAAGATGCATTGAGAAACACACCGTTAATGAATCATATACAAAGATCCCTGCATCACCGATATATATCCTTTAGTTTGTGGACACAGTCGTCATTTCACAGCAATAGTAATCGTACACACACGACATATTCCGGTGAATTTGAATGTCCCTTAAACACATAATATGTATATAGATATAATTTTATTGAACGTTTCTCTAATCTCTTAATCTTATTTTTAAGATTCGACTTAATCCGCTGACCTCAAACTGAAAACTACAAGTGTATTGTAGTGCAGGATTATTTTCCGAGTCAACTCTGTCGTGACCGATTAACAAATGTATATCACCATTATACAACATTCATTATCAAGGGTCCAGATCGGAAAGAAAAAAAAGATAAATAAAGATTAGCAGTCATACAGACACCAGCATTTAGATAGATTTTTTCGTTATTGTAGAAGGGAGATAACTCGTTTTAACATGACAACGTACATGAAAAGGGTGAATAGAAGCTTGACACAGTTTGAAAGAAGCAGTACTAATATGCAATAATTATGTCGTCACTATCTGATATGTAATATTTACTCTTCATTGCTCATTCAACAGTACATTTTAAGGTGGTCGTAGGGTCAGAGAAGCACATACCCATATATATAAGTATAAATCATACAAAACGACATTATTCATTTAGAATGCAGTTCGTTTAACTCTTTATGTATATAGGCGGGCCTGGTAGTTACAGGACGCTTGGGTTAAAGTCTAAAATGCAGATGTCACTAAGTGAGTTTTAATGTCTTTCTTGAATTTGGCAACAGTTTTCGACTTTCTGGTAGGAAATTGTAAAATATTCGACAAAACGACAGCCACCTTTCCAAAACGTATGGAGTATCATTCGGAGGTGAAAGTTTTGCCCAGCGTTTCGTTTAATGTGCAAAATGACTTATCAACAGTCGTTGGCACACGTTACAACGTTTTCACAGAAACTAAGCTTTTCGTTTTATACATGTACTGTACTGGTATCTACCGATAAGGTGTATACGGTGTTTTATTCACCCACTGACTGCTCAACTTTGTTTGGGACATGATCAAATAGTTGAACAGCACATTTATACATTAATCAATCAGATTGAATAGGAATGTGACGTTGGGTTTACCCGTTCGCACATCGTCGATCTGTATAATAACACAGTCATTTATCGGTCTACTTAATTTGTGAAAACGTGATATGAAATAAGTATACAATATAACTGTTCAGGTATCAGCTAGACATGCATTCTCAGACATTGTAACTACTTTCTTTTCCTGGTATATGCTCTGACACTTGATGTGGTCTGGAGTTATGATAGTGTATAATATATCAATCTAATCTACCGTAGAAGTATTGATCACCATCATAAATCAGGTTATTAATACTGAAACCTACTGATAAAACACAAGTGTGCAACCAACACACCAACTAGGCGACATCGTGTGTGTCAACAAAGTGATGCTTTGTGGGAAAAAATCACATTTAGGTGGTCGTTAACTAGTTGAACACATGCGCCTGATGAAAACAAAATTGTCAATCATCTTTCTGATGTGTTATACCACAATATCAATATGTGTTTTAATACTATACGATGTGTGTGTTTGGTACTATACAATATGTATTTATATTTATATAATGCTCGCTGTGTCTGACCCTTGTGCGAGTCGATATCGATAAGAGGATCATAGTACGAGCTCAAAAGGGATTACCTAGTTTAAAAACACATATACAGAGCTGTGAGGTCAAATACACAACCCAGTATAACATTTATATACATCGTATCATGTTAGGATTTGCAGACATTCCATAAACACTTTTTGAAGGGAAATGTTGCATATGATAATAAATATACACAGTACACAAAAAAATCGCAATTACTTACATGTGTATTTTTACTATCGACAATAGCAATAAAGGGGACACAACAATTTGCATTTTTGTTGCATGGTTGATATAACAAAAAGTAAGCGAGTAATCTCCCTTTTTCGATACATTGAGCTATATACTTAAAACAAAAATGTTGTCAATAGTTTATCTGCACATCGAAACAATAGGTAATGTCAGACTGTTTCACGCTTACGAAATAAATATATATGGTCGGCGACTAGAGCCGTGAGAAAAAAGATTGAAGACAATTTTGTAAGGGCCTGATACGTCGGGAAATGTTTCAATACGGACAAATTTTAAATTTATTTATTGGAATTAACTATTCTTGAACTACGAAGGTTGTACGGTGGTCAAAGATGGCCTATTGCAACTGTAGAGGAGGAAAAACCCTCTTTTTAAGTAGGCTGTTAGTTAGCCAGGACATCTTAAAGAGTGTTTACCTGCTCGTACATAATATGCTACATTCAGACACCAGCTTCGTCGTGTAAGTTAGCATGAGTCTCTCACAATAGAATCAAAGTATAGCACAACTGTTGACCTCAATAGAATAAAATGATTTTAACCCACATCTATATATCGTCTTATTTTATTTTAAAACCTGAGATAGCTAGTCCTTACAGTAACCTTGATTTAGAGTTGAATTACGAGAGGATTACTAGATATTTATTGTACTTAAATAGCCCAAGCTTTCCATATACGGGATCTTTCGATCTTATGATACTAAAAATACATTCAATAATTTTACTATTAAAACTACAATTATATATCGATTCTTTTAATACAGATATTTATCTACGACCACTTAAAATAGACAATTATATACTTTATATCGTAAACTACTAGTATGTGTGTATACATGCAGATAATTACCTACCACAGAACATGAAATATTACCAAACCTACTTTAAATCATACTATTATCAGTATGTCAATACTTTGCTTTAGCAAACTTCATGTGCGATCGTTTATCATTTTTCGTGGAAGTCCACGTTAGTGATTCCACGAACCAACGGACAAAAGGTCTATAGGCATTTACTAAAACATGGGGATATGTGACTACAAATACTGACTGTTTAACCGACCCATAGAAAAGAGATTCATGTAAACGTGGATGCACCCACTTAAACATAGTTTGTTGTATTGTTTACTGTTATGTTGTGATAGGCTCTATTACGTTCTATAAGGAAGTTTGGGTTATGAAACACATCAATCGAGTGACATTTTGAATACTATACACACTTACAGCTTTTACAAACTGGTGATAATCATGTGCCATTTAAACACAATATTTACATGTGCATGGCATTGTCACTATATAATCTATTTGAAAGCTGTGTCGTTGATGGGACTTTAAATGTCATGCACCACGAAACACAATTAGTATCGTGTTCATACCACACAGACCGGAACTGCAATATACAACGTAAATGTGTAAAACAGAATCGAGAAAATAATTGTTAAAATACTTTTATTACAACATAAAATAGCTAGCGCGCAAAGCTGTGTCATTCAAGTAGATCATAAAATGCCATACAACAAAATCTGAAGGAAAATATACTTTATGTTGGTATCGATATGATAGTATGTTTCAGTTTCGCATGTTAATACAATATAAAACAATGACCTTTAAAAAGAACAGTTGGATACTAAGTAACCTTCGGCTATGATTTTGGAATATATACATTTAGCTACTTTTAGCTGCAGGCCTTGCTCATTCATCAGAAACCTAAGATTTTCTTCTCCGTTCATATCCATAAACCTCCCCTGCAGGTGGGGGGGGGGGGGGGGGAAGAATACACCTGCTGTTACCAACTGCGTGTATCATAGGAGGCGACTAATGGGGAACCACCTGCAGAATTAAGGGTTCGCTTTGGAGTTCACTATTTGGGGACACAAAAGCGATCAAAATAAATATGCTGCACCCATTGCAATATTCGGGATCTTCATCTTTCTTTCTTTTTACTTCTAACTACCTTTTATTTCCTAGCGCCTTTCTTGGCAACACCTCACTTTTGGCATTAATGCTGAGCGTTCGCCCACGTGAGGAAGGCAATGGGTTCTGTCCCCAGGCTTGGACATACCAAAATCCTTAAAAACGGTAGTTGTTATATCCTTCTTTATGTTCAGCATTTAGGGAAATCGCAACAACTGGTACATCCGTGTTCAGTATAATGTGACTGGGCGGAATGCTTTGCTGGGTGCCGTCGGCATGGTATTTCAATGAGATAGCACTATAAAGTCGCACCAGATCCGCGCTATCACAAGGAGGCAAGCACACCAACATACACTGTCTCCTGCATGCACACACGCAAGCACCAATACACTACACACATGGAGGCACGTCCTTAAATGATCTTAGTTGTTAACAGGACGTTAAACAAAATTAAACCAAACCAAACAAATATATATAAACAACATTTCTATGCTTTCCATATCTATAAAGAACATCACGTACATCTGAATAAGCTGACCATTAAAGGAGAAAATGTAATTTATCTTCTATTACATAAGTATTACAATAGTTTCATTTCCTTTCAGCCAGTGGAGTTTTACTTCAACATCTGCTGGTATAAATAGCTAACGGTAATAGCTATCGGTAAAACTCAATACCTAAAGCCAGCTAATGGTTAAGGTCAAGACCTAAAGCTTATTAATGAGGATAAATGTACAGATTAAAACCTAGCTAATGGTGATAAAGGTTTAGATCTAAAGCCAGCTAATGATAAGTGTCCAGACATAAAGCTAGCTATTGATGATAAAGGATTTTATTTAAAACTAGCTAATGGTAAAGGTCCAGACCTACAGTTAGCTATTGATGATAAAGGTCTAGACCTAAAGCCAGCTAACGGTAACGTTCCAGACCTAAAGCTAGCTTATGATGATAAAGGACTAGATCTAAAGCTAGCTAACGGTAACGTTCCAGACCTAAAGCTAGCTACTGATGGTAAATTTCTAGATTTAAACCTAGCTAATGGTAACGTTCAAGACCTAAAGCTAGCTAATAATGATAAAGGTCTAGATCTAAAGCTAGCAAACGGTTAACTTCCAGACCTAAAGCTAGCTGATGATAAAGGTCTAGACATGATGCTACTTTATAGTAAAGTTCCAGAGATAAAGCTAGCTAACGAGTGTTTATATTATCTACTCAAAATATATTCAATATATAAATCATTACTTAGAATATGTTTATTAACTCGGTATGTTCTTAATACGTATAAACTAGCGATCCCCTAACCTTAGTGATATCATTAAAAGGATTAAAATTTACGGAAGCATCATCGTCTGTCCCAATGTATACAAGGAAACCATTTTTACTTCGCTAGTCATCCCTTTCTTATTCGTGAAACACACTTCTTTTGGCCATTCTTTATCATTTGTAGCGGACACACTTCGTTACTCCTCTTTTTATTATTTGTAACGGGCACATTTCGTTACTCCTCTATCCATTACATATAGCGGACTCACTTTGTACAGGTACATTTCGTTACTCCTTTTTGTTACTAAACGTAGCGGGAACACTTCATTACTCCACCTTTACAGTACGTATAGGGCACACTAACATACTCCAGTTTTTATTTTATGTAGCGGGCACACTCCATTACTCCTTTCTGTATTATTTGTAGCGGAAACACTTTATTACTCGTCTTTTTATTATATACTGAAAGGATAAAGAAGCACAGAGTAAATATTTGAGGTGATTTAATGTTGTCCAGTTTCAATAACACGTCCTTTATTCTTCTTTTTACGTAACGTAGCGGCACACGTTCCGTATCACTCTCTTTATAAACTTGTCGGGGACACACGTACCCTATCCCCTTTTATATCTAATAATGATTTGGTGTCAGGAATCTGGATAAAGACTAAGCTGTCGAGTTTCTTTGTGATTTTCCTCAGTGCCGCTTGTGCCTTTGCTGCTCTGTTTCTCACAGACTCCGGAAAGGACTCCACGGCTGCCATCTTTAGGACACTGTTGTGACTAAGGTAGACAACTGGCTTGATACAGTAGGAAATGTCGGATACCAGCACGACGAGTGAGAACCAGCCTCCCCACACAGTATCCTCGTCGCCATCCACATATGACAGGGCCACATACGGCAGCCACGTACCTAGCACCACCAGATACATTAGAATATAACTTACGGCTAGAGTTACATCCCTTTCCTCTGTGGAGGACTGGTAAACGTTGAACATCACCTTGACCTTCGACAATTTTGTTTTATTCCTGGTTATACCACCAGATATTATTTCTATGTTCGCGTCATTTTCAGGTCTTGATGTTATTGACTCTCTAACAGTGACCTGACTGTCTCCATCTTCGATGTCCGTAGTGACGTCACTTGAAGCAGTATCAGTTGGGATATGGTTGATTACATCTGATATCGCTCTATAGTGCTTGCTCGATGCGGATGTATCCATGCGGAATGGCACCGATTGTGTAATAGTACTGCAAACATCATTTGAAGCCCCGTCAATCATTTCACTAACACTTAAATCAGTTTGTGCGTTATCATATCGTCCTGATGCTGACATGGTTTTATTTTCGTCATTCCTTTTAGCGAGTTTCATATTGATACTCTCGACTTGTTTGTTTAATTTCGATAAAGTTAAAATGATTTGTCGTTTGCGAGCATACGTGAAGATCGCACAAATGCATACTATAATGGCCGGAGTGTATATGCCAAACGCAAAGAGAAGATGCATATGTAGCTGGTTACTGCCGTGTAGGTGGCAGCGCTGTTGAAGTGGGATATATTCCACCTTTCCGTAACCGGTAAGTGGGAGAGCAGATAATGTGGCGCTCACTAACCACACGAGCGCAACAATAGCAACACTGAATTTCCTTTTCTCAAAAACGTGTTCGTGGACTCTTGGTTTCCATAGTTGTGTCGTTCTCTCGCAGCAGAGAACTGCCATGAAGAGGAAAGATGCCAGCCGACACATAGACACAGATAGTCCATTTATCACACAAAACCCATCAGGAAATATCAACGAATCGTCAAAAGATGCTACAATCCCAGGCAAAATTATCAGCAAATAGGCAACAAAATCTATCACAATTAACTGAACAAAAACAGGTTTGCTTGTCATGGTCTTGTGCTTGTTTGAGACGAGCTCACGTATAACGAGAATGTTAAGCACCATTCCGATTAAGAAAATAATCAACATGAAAACACCTGCTACATTGTCCACCACATCATTCTCGAGCCATCTATAGAAGGACCCGCTCACTGTTGTTAATGCGCTTACATCGGATACGTTGTTATTCGACATGCTGGTCATAAGAAGGTTTGTTTTGTCTCTGTATAAAGCGATGGCCTTCAAGCCTTTCAAACCTGACTTTTTTTGTATTGATGATAGAACACATAATCCAGATCCGTCATGAAGTAGCTACATCTTTAAATCAAAAGGGCACTCTTTTACAAACATGTATCCTCCTATCTTTAAATATGAATGGAAAAAGAGCGTGAATGTGATACTGCTATGGGACACCGGAGACATGCATGTCTTCGCACTGCATTCAAGCATGTGCATTAACGATTTACAGATGACAACAGAGTAATATTCAAATACCCTAGAGTGATGTTCGAATACTATTATAAGGGCTTGACAATGTTTTCTGAGTTTCATGTCCTCTTAGTTTATACAAGGTACTAGTACACCAGTCAGATTTTTAAATGTCGTGTGGTTTTTCATCTACAACTCTGTTATCTGTTACTTGACTTTCATGTTATTTCAAAAAAAGAATAAAAATTATCAACGTCCTACTTTGTATATTGTTTTATTTAATAAAGTACTTACGATCTATCAAAACAATGAGGTCACACAGGACCACACTGTAACAAAACTTCGCAAACGGTTTATCAGAAAAGAAACCGAGAAAATGCCAAAAACTAAGATAAAAGGCTTGACACAATGAGTTGCAATTTTGAAACAAATCACACGAACGAAAGCCCAGATCATGCACGTCATATACACAGCTGTTCTAAAACACCACGTGAAAAAAAAATCATTTCAGGAAGAAGAAAAACCTATTTATTAACTTACGAAGGCCTAAGTTTGACTGAGTATGCCCTAGGGCTATCATTGACGGTATTGAATGTATGTTGTTTTTAAGTCAGACAATTGATCGTAGTGCCGTAAGAGAATTTACTACAATGTAGAACAATACATGTGGTCCCTATAACCAAAAGACGTAAAGTAGTGTCAATATTGATACAGGTGGTCAGCGGTCCCATTGTCAAACCGATACTTAAGGTGTTTAACATGATGTAAATGTTTTACATAAATAACTACGGCTATGTGTATACAACACACATCGTGTCCAGATCGTTCAAGGTTGTATCAGCAGTGACATAATTCATATACATATCGCTATTATAAAAAGAAACTTCAACGAATCCATAATAAAAAATTATAATTTTTAAACCTGATGATAACTTTAATACCGATATATATTAAGTGTTCTGAGTCATGATACGAACATTTTGCTTGGTAAACCGTTCATGGTTATACAGACAGTTGTATGAGAACGTGTTCAATCTTATTTAAGTAAATTCTTAATGCAAAATTAGACCCTCTATACGATCGAGGTCATGTCAATGCTACACGCGTTCTATTACCTGTTATTCGTTGTTGGTTTGAATGACATTAATTATCTGGATATTAAATATTCCTTGGAAAACACATTTTTCTATTTCTAAAATTAATGTGATATAATGTTAATGATGTTGTCCCTGCAATAAATATAAACAAGTTAAAGATTGGGCGTTTCTCATGTTACGTAATTCCAAAATAATGGTATTTGTTTCATTGAATAGGATACTTTGAGGTTGAATAGGTTTTGGGGTCTCCCACGCTTAACAAACATGTATACACAATATTTCACAACTGTTTACGACGAATCACCAAAACAGACCCTGCTAAGTAATTGGTAATATGTATATGCTACAGTAACGTTATAGTTGGTAATAAACTTTGGAATCGTTTATACATCAGTCTTGCATACACACATTAAATACTTAAAGATCTTTGGATTACGACCAGGAAGTATTTAATATCCAGATAATAAATGTCATTCAAACCAACAACGAATAACAGGTAATAGAACGCGTGTAGCATTGACATGACCTCGATCGTATAGAGGGTCTAATTTTGCATTAAGAATTTACTTAAATAAGATTGAACACGTTCTCATACAACTGTCTGTATAACCATGAACGGTTTACCAAAACAATGGTCGTATCATGGCTCAGAACACTTAATATATATCGGTATTAAAGTTATGGTACCAGCTTATTTCAATAGTGATGCTTCCTTTTTAACAACATTGTATCTAACGAAACAACAGAGTTTTATTGTGTAAAAGTGTCAACTCTTAATAGGTCCAGTGTCTAACAGTACAACTGTCATTAAATAATACTTATACTATAGGTCCAGTGTCTAACAGTACAACTGTCATTAAATAATACTTATACTATAGGTCCAGTGTCTAACATTACAACTGTCATTAAATATTACTTATACTATAGGTCCAGTGTCTTACAATACAAATGTCATTAAATAATTTCTATACTATCACTTAACATTTGCAAATGTGTTATTCCCCACCACCCTCCGTATAGCCCTCCTTTTTTACTCACTACAAATAAACTAAATTCAGAAAGAGAGTGAAAGATGAATGTTGAATGAACGCCCTCTTGTGTGAGGACACACTACTGTTCGGGGTCAGACCCCAGGGCTCCTTAACCCTAGCAGTTCCTATAAAAATATTTATGTATATATACCAATTCTTGCTAGAAATATAGATATATACAAATTCCTGAAAAATATGTCTGGGGAAATATAAATTTGGAGGGAAAAATATTAATTCTACCATTGTGAGTTGTTCTTAGTGTAGCTAACAAACGCTACACATAACATAAATGGCAGTTTAGTGGTCTGTTCAGTTTGAACTGCTACGCCACAACGCCAAATATTGAAAAACTGTAGATCAACAATGTAAAATGTAAATCTAGATATGATTCAAGTGCTAGATGAAAATAAAGACGAGGCCTATTCATACAAAAAAAAAAAACAGTCGATGCTGTTCCCGATTCACTACTCATTCCATAACAGAGGTTTTTATAGTATGATTATAGAAAGGTATATGCTGAGTTAGTTTTGACCCAAACAGTTATTGAAAACTTATTTTTCGAGCTTTCGAAAACATCCGTTTCATTTGTCAAGCAAAGACGCAAATGACCGGTGTCTCGACTCTAAATCGCTGAAAGCAATTCCACTTCGAAGGCTCGCAAAATAAGTTTTCAATTAATGTTTGTGTTCAAACCAAACTGATGAATCTCATTCTGATTATTTAAAAATAAGTGATGTATCACACTTTTATGCTCTAATGATTTGTACCTTGTCTAGAAAGCCTATACCTACTGTTTCATTTGCAATGGCATTGTTGAATGTTTCGAGAGAATCAAAAGTAAATCATTCAAATGAAATTGAAGAAGGGTGTTGCTGTTCTACCATCAGTATATGCAGAATATCCATATTCCACATACCTATATAGTATAGCTTCTATGAATAATACACAGGATTACTTCAATCCATAATTTAGGGGTTATTTTATTACTTGATTGTCGCATTATTGTCATTATACAATCTAACAGTTCACATTAATGTTTTACATCCCGTGTACAATATAAAAGTTAAAAAAAGCTATCTAAATAATTTAAGAACTGTCCGACCTTTTACACAAAATAATGTATCAAATTTGACAAAGACAATCTAGCCAAAGACTATTGACTAAAACAAAATATGGCACAACGTTAACACACAAATCCAAAATTAACCCCGATAACAAGGGGAGGAACAATACATGTCCGTCCTATGCCAAATTGACATACTTTAAATCCCTCTGGTGCATTATTGTACAAAATTATGGAAACATGGGAATGTATATATAAGAAACTACATGTGTACTGCATAACTCTGTAAAAATGAATTATTTCTGCGATATGATAAAAGGAGAAAACCTATTGTCCTTTAGCAACTTAATTCAGGGTAAATGTCCGTATATTATATTTTCTTTAATACCTTCAAAAATGTATGTAAATTGATTAAATGACCTTCATTTCAAAACATAAAATAGAAATGGTATTGCATTCTTTTGCTCATAATCCACTCATCGTGACCTGTCATTACCATATATATTGTAAAGTGCTTCTTACTTATCATAGCAGCTTACGCTTTTAATTTAAACTTTGCCTTTTACAAATTGACCAAGTTTCATCAAAATCCTTGTTCGAAAACTTTCGACAAATAAGAGCGCAGTATAATAATCAATTAAGCACAGGTTTCTTGACTTGGTATTAAGCCTTTGTCAGTGTTTCATATAAATAATGACTTAGATTAATGAGAGCCGATTATGTTTGATTACGTTATTTAGCAAATAATTTTAACGAATCAGGGCTAGGTAAGCTAAATATATATACGCATAGTTTTTCCAGCATTTACTATATTCTTTGACTTTTTATAGTATAAATATTCATAAGATATAATATAAGTTTCATAGGAACTCTCGACCAACTGGAGTGTAGTATGTTAATAAATTATGCACATATTTTGCTTATTTCGTCTCTGGCTTTTTCAGTGTACATGCTTACCATGATATATAAAAATCGAATGATATTTAAATAAACTAAAACATTTTTTGGCTCTAAATTGTGGACAAACGAACGGATGGACTCTTCCCATACGACAAACGACCAGTCCAAAAAAATGAAGGGCATATACAATCAGTAGCTGCCCATCTAGAATACATCAAATTTGGATCGAGGCGAAACCAGGAGCTCAAATAGCATTCCTTGTACATTTATAGTTTACTGCGTAATACTTGTAGAAACTGTAATGACTAGTGAAAACCTACTACAGCGATTGTATAGAGGAACAATCCGTACATGTACAAGAGGAGTGTTTGTCTTCCATGTGTTTAATGAACATGTCCGGACAAGAAGATTGTTCTAAATACGAATCCACCTGGCTATCCGAATAATGCAAAGTTCGAGAATCTGCCGACTGCTGCATCCTACGGGCAGGTGCGTGAAAAGCATAGTCTTCATCACAAGCTGAATCCATAGAACGACATTTGCGTTGTTGGCACCTTTCAACTATAATGGTATCTCTGTTAGACCTGTGTAATACAGTGCTATAACGAGACGCAGGTGATGAATTTGTTAAGGTTGGTATTGACGTGGTTGCATTAAAATCTTTTAGTTCTGAATCATTTTGATTTCTTGAATATATCGTTGAAGCACCACCAATATCGCTGTCTAGATCAATAAGATCGTCACTAGCTTTACTTGATAACAGAGATAACTGTTGACCGGCAGCGGTACTAGAACTTCCTATCGATCCCCTTGAAGTGGAAGAGTGACCATCCACGGCAGTCGTCCGTGGCAACACTGATGCTGCAGTTTCTTTTATAGTTGTGGGTTCTGAAGCTGAGTTTTGCGTATTAACAATAAGAAACGTGTTCTCCCCTTGTACCGGTTCTTTCATACTGTATGAAGGTTCGCCCCAAGTAACATTTTCTTGCACGTGGTCCGTTGTATTTTGTGTGTTTTTGGCAATCTTGGTGGAGCAGTAACCGGTATCTGTTGTTGATATGTTACCCATCTGTTTGTCTTTAACCTGGGGACGAGTATCGCTGTGTACCATCGGACCCTCAGCAAAACTCTTGTTAAGATTTTCTATGGTAAAGATAAGGTCGGTTTCCGACGTAGCGTTACATTCCTCTGTTGGAACAGCTGACACGTTTTCATCAGTCACATGAACATGGGACTCTTCCAGAGCCAGTTTGTTTATATTTGCTGACGGTAGATCGTCTTTTGAAACGGAGAGCAAGTCAAACTCTTCATTTTCTGAACTAGTATTATGCAGGGGCGATGATAAATGCCCCGCCTCAAGGTTTTTTGCCAATGACAAAGCTGTTGGATATGAATTTCGATGGGGTTTATCATCAACATGAACGAATAACATCGGTTCACTGTTAGATGCTATCATTACGACAGTTTCGCTGTCATAAATTTTAGTCATCCACTCTTCCACCTTGGTGCTTGGTGTCACTGGTAATAATTTCCTCGTCTCCTTCCCTTTCCTACGCCTCCGTTTCCTGATGCAGCAAAAGCCAACAGAAATGCTGATGCCGATGAGTACAGCCACCATTATTACAAAGACTGCTATCAAAACATCACCAACACCTTCAGCCCAAGAAACAGGCGACTCCCTTGTCGTAATCAGTTCATAATCTGGAAAAGAAATTGGGATATATGTTTGTATTCTAATACATAATGTAGCATCGTTATATATAGAAGATATATCTAAGCAAGGAGAGTAAATCATCATTATATCACTAAACTTGAAAAGTAATCCATGATCAGAAAATTGTTTCACTCATTACATCTACGTCAATAAGGACAAGCTGATGTGACGTTATACGGTGGGGAAAAGTATGCAAAAGAAAAACAATACGACAAATACAACGGGGGAGACGGAACCTGTCAGAGAAACAAATCAGCTTACTTTATTGTCTAAAACCGCTGGTTCCTTCTACGATAGGTTTTTTTGTTTTCTTTTATTCATGGCAATCGAATTCATTTTTAAAAACTGTCACATCTGCAATACCTATGAAATAAGACACGTTATCAAAACATACCATTTGTCCTTAGTAACTGGAGACAATTTCGAAGTTACCAAGCTACAAACGAGATTGGGGCTGAGCATAAACTACTTGATTCAGCATTTATAGATTGTCACAAAATGTTTTCAGGGTTTGTTATGAGAACAACGGTCTCATCGCGAGCACATGGATAAAATGTAAAGGCAACCATAGAGCGACTCGAGTTTTTATCCAAATGCGAGTGATGAGAATTGTTCGAACAACATACCATGAAAAGAATTGTGTGATAAAATGTTTATCATTTATCTAAACACTACTACTTTGTACATTCCTCCATTCCTAAAAGTCAACGAAATACCATACGATCAAAAGGTAACAGAGGATATCTGCGGGAGAATACCACGAACTTTAAAACTAATTAGAAAGACATTTTAAAACAATATTATCGTCATCGACTTTTCCATATGCACATTGACGCCTACAATGATGTTCCTCACAATATTTTTCATAACTTTGAAATGATTTATTTATGATTTTATTTATGACGGAATACTTTTTTACATATGGATTATAAACGAGCTGATCTGTTCACACCTTCGTCTTAAGTTACATCAGTGAATCATTAAGGTGATACGTGTGTAACGAAACTGGAGTGGGTCGATCGTTGGCGACCAGGTAGCTCAAACAGTAGAGCAGTAAGTACTTCGTATTTAATTTCAAGGACACATTTCACATTGTGAAACCGGGGAAGCTATTTGCCTACGTGAGTAACGACGACAAAGACGACCTCTAATCAACATGATAAATCGTTATATAAACACATACATCGCAGTAATAGGACTTTTTCTATTTAAAAATTATCTACCAAAAGAATAAAAACACACTTTATCAAGTCACCTACCGTATTCCTCCTCGTCATCTGGATATCCGAATGGCGGATAGGCCACCGGCATGCAAATAGTATCGCTGTTATTCTCGCTACTTCGACACTCATCTACCTCTATAACATACTCTGGATAGCCTCTATAGCACACAGAACACTTTGCACACTCATAAGAGGACTCAAGTCGGAAGTAGCCTGCACAACAAATCAAAATACTTTCGTTATTCATTGATCCTATGAGCGTACAGATAAATGCATGTGAAGATGAACCGTTGTGGTTAGTTTGATTACATGTATATATACCAGACACATGATAATTTTAAAAGTTGCCTTTGAGTGGTGAAATATTTGTTTTAATTGTTGACTACTGTTTTCTAAAGACAATTAAATATGTGTTATGCAACTGGTTATGTGTAATGGTGAGTAGAAAAAAATCAAAGTTCCAACATACACTGGTAAATCACAGAATGCAGAATAGATTGCAACAAACACATATCTACATGGTATTTGTTAATTTGGTATGAGGTCTTAACATAACTTATTTATTGGTTTATTACATGTTTAATCTTAATCCGGAAAGTACGACTCCAAATCCGTTGCATTACCTTCGGAACAGCTCCCACATTTAGTGTTGTGGTCGGCTGTACATTCCCGGATAGTCTGCTCACCAAACCTACAGAACGTGCACGCTCTACAATATAACTGCAAATTGTAACTCTCCAGGAACGTGCCCTCTGGACATGGCTTACACAAAGTATCGTTAAATAAACCGCATGGACTGCTGGCGTAGTGCCCAGGTGGGCATATGCTGCATCTCTTACACTCATTCGTCGATTGAAGATAGAAGTAGTCCTTCTTGCAAGGCACACACGCTGCGTTTCGATACCTTTTGCATCCGATATATCTAAACCCCTTCTCACACACTGGTCTACGGCATTTTGTACATTTCTTTTTGAAGCCACCAAGTGAAAAGTACCCGTGTCGGCATTGCGCGCATCTGGTGTCAACGTCCTTTGTGCAACGAGCACGCATGAACTTGCCTGCTGGACACTGAGAGCAAGGGGAACATACGCCCTTTCCGTTTGGTTGCAGTGACAAATAATTCCCTCTCCATGTACAAATTGATGAAATAGCTGTCACCTGCACGAAAACAAGCAAATGTATTTAAAACTTGTGTATTATTTTTTTCTTTAAGTAAATGAACGAGGAAAAACTAACATGACGACACACATTGACCAAACGATTAGTCGGAGGAGGGATGCTGCCATACCAATAAATGTCATCTTTATCGTATATAGCCCGAGTTTCCACTGACCCTAACACCAGACTGAGACATTTTATAAGAACAATAACATGCAACATTTGATAAAGCGCCCTATCTAGCTAACATAAGGCACTCTAAAGCGCTTTACATTACATAGATATACACTTACAACAATTAGCATATACATTAATTAATTCATTTTGAGGAATTCGCAGGAGCTGCCTTATCATGCGCTTACTACTAGTCTTATGCCACTTGGCTAATATTTCCTTATGTGTGTATGCCTGCGTGTGTGCTGGATATGTATTGTGTTCTGTTTTGTAGTGGGACCGTGCATCCAACGGCATCTTTTATAGTGCCAACTCACTTGAATGCTACAGCACAGATACCGCAACATGCACCCCAGACCATTTCTTACTCCACCTGGGTTGTTGGAGTTGTGTGGGCAAGAGAAAACCACTTTCTCTGATATTCCATGCGTACGACGACTTCGAGGATCGAACCTCGGCCGTCTGCGTTGAAGGCCGAAGTGTTAACCACTTGACCAATCCGCCCATTTTGACATAAAGATGTCTGGTGAGAAACCTCGTAATTATCGGGTTTTACTTGAGAAGTTAGATAAAGAAATTACAGTACATGTGCAGTAAATCTTGTATTGCTTGCCTGCAATTATTCTGTGCATGTAAATTAAAACTGGTTGATAAATAAATTAGTTGTTTAATTTCCATCCCGGGATCTCAAACCGATTAACAATGGCGGACAAAAATCATTTCAAGCACGGAATAACGGCTTCAAGTTACTATAAGGTAAAATAGGGCACATTAATTAAGTGTCACTGTGCAAAAACATAGGTCCGTGTATGTCATTAAATCGCAAGACCTATTACGTATAAAATAGCATACAGATTAGTCCTTGTTCGTGATGAGCATCAGATATGTTACATCCTATATACGTGTTTAGGTATACAATGACATAAATCTTAGGGCAACAGGAATTGTATACTAAATATAAATATGTTTGTATTACTGGTACTGTTACATGTGTACTAGTCGCCGAGCTATAACTGTGGGATTCCCCCTGATACCTCCTTAGACTTAACCTTACTTAATTGGGTCTTTCATCTAAGAACTGCAAAAATAGGAATTTAAAATGGAATAGTTTGGTGTACGGTATTTCAAGGTTGTGAGCATTTGTATGGATCTTATGAAGAATTTCATTTGTTTTAATCTTAAAGTACAGGTTGCAAAAAAAATTCTCGATTAAAACACTGGTCCCTGATCTTTTAACAAACAGTTATCAAGATCAATGTTCACATACATACATTGTACCAGTCGTGGGTTCGTGTATCCTATTTAATGTGAGCCTGATCATAATTTTTTTATTTAGCATTTTCAATTACCAACTATTCATACTAAACATATACATTTGATCCTTTCTATAACAGATGTCAATATGATTAGTACGCATCCGCCAGGAATCGAACCCTGTACCTTTGGTTTACCAGTCTAACGCTCTCTACCGAGTGTGATAGTTAGAATACATTTGTCTGTGACACACTTAAGTATTCAAGAAATGACCCACATTTTTTGTGAAGGCACACAAGAGTAGGCCACTTGCCAGCTGACACAGTTTTTGATGTTGAAATCAGACCCCTTAAATAACTATATCTTATATCTGTACAACACTGTTTAATGAGTCGATGTCATTGTCCTTCTATATCTTATAAACAATTGGTTGATTTAAATGTTCTGATCACACGCGTGCGGTTTCTTGTGCCCAAATTTACGGTAATTGGCATCACATAGAATATAGCCAATGATATTAGAGCTACACGGAAGTTTGAATCACAGTGGTGTATATATATATAGATAACACCGAGACAGGCAAACACACGCTTTGTTCTACCAACGAAACGCATTCTTCGTTCGACCTGTATTGATCACACTTTAAAGCTTTGTTCTACCAGCGAAACGCATTCTTTGTTCGACCTGTATTGATCACACTTTGAATACGAGTGTTTCCCAGGGTTAACCATGACGATAATGTATATATATATATATACATATTTTGTGAGATGCCTAGGTCGATAGGATTTAAAAAATAAATTAGTGATTTCAAAACGTTTCCGTACTTATTTTAAAAATCTGTGACTAGACCATCCCGTTGCATAACTCACCAATGATCCAATACATTTTTTTTTACCACATGTATGTGCCCCCCACTCCTGAATGGTGTTGGTTTACCGTACGTATACACGATGATTAGCCCACATAGCGACAGGAGTAGTAATATGAATATACAATGTATATATATATATATATATCGCACGTACTGGGCGTTTCTACGTATAACATATGGTTCATTATTGATAAAAACAGAAACAGACATACATAATGTATACGTTGCGCCACGTAACTAGGCTACAGACTAATTAGTAATATGTATAAGTCAGCGCGTGGAGTTGTATCATGTAAAGACATTTAAAAAGACTTAAACATTTCACAACTTTCTCATTTAATATCATAAAAACTACTTCTGAATCATCGTCATATTATCAGTAGCTGATAAACCCAAAACGAAACTAACATAGTGTTACGTGGAATACCGTAAATGAGCGTCAGTGTATTCTGTTAGGTAAAAACTGCGGTATTATTCTTTAAATGTTACACACAAGTATTTGAGTTATCTTATTAGCTAAATCATTCACTTACCTGGCCAAAAGGTACGGTATATGTGCATATTACAATCATCACCGTAATAAACATGTTACACAAGCTTGACACCTCGTGGGAATTACGGGTTCTATAAATAGCATTAAATTCATACCAACGGAAGAGCGGTAGAGCCAGCTGGAATTTCCCTTTAGCTCATGATCAGTGGTACCCGTAGGAACCTGGAGATCGAGGGTTCGATCCCCGGTGGAAAGAAGCACATTATTCTCTTTCCTGTTACATATACAAATTTGGAACTTCTACCTGTTTACTCGAAATGTCTCGTTATATAATACGTCAGTCAGCTCAAAATGAACAATGATTTGATTATGGTTGTTTGGCCATTGACACATGAGTGCAATCGGGAACCGTCGGTACTTTCCGTTTAAGGGAAGTGTCGATGGTTCCCGATTGACAGAAGTGTACATGTATGCAAATAGAGACTAATAATGAACCAGATGGTTTCTACATTTTAAATTATTGGATAATATAGAAGACATCTCTACAGAGACTAAACAAGTAGGAAAAAATGCATCCAGTTAGTTTTTATGTTGTTAAATAGATAAAAACAACTTTTGTCTGTTTATTGTGTATTTCGGTGGAATATATATATACTCGTGATTCTAAAAATGATGGAAACGCACCGCCTTGTTCTCAAGCGTGTCTACAAATCAATATGGAACCTTAAAGTAATGATAGTTTTCCCATCGACTGTTATGTTAGAGTATGTTAGAATATACCAAAAGTTCTCACAAGTTTTTCTCAAAAGTATTTATCCCCTTTATGGCGAAGTATATCGTAATATACGTGTATACGTAACAGTGAATGTTGTTCCATACAACTCCTCTGCAAGTCTTCCATATCATTTCTTTAACCCATTTATTGAACTTTCTCTTTCAAATGAGCCACGTGACATAGGCGTCCGATAAAGAAGCCATGCACCTGGTGATAGTTTGTAGTTCGCTTATGTGATTGGCTTACAAATCCCGCAGTATACCACGTTGTGAATGAACGGATTTCACTTATTAAATTTTGAAATAGCATTTTAGTTTAAACATCATATTCATTTTTTTCTGTTCCAACTAAACATGTATGTTTAATTTCGAATTGCAATAAATAACAAAGTATACAATGATATGTACTGAAAAGGAAAATATATGCCACATTTCGGAATGTTACATTAACAACCAACGGATGACTGTTCATTTAATGGATTGCATTATGTTGTGATAGACAGCTCAACACTGGAGGGAAGTACAACACTTTTTCAGACTTTAACTTCATTTTAATATATATATGCTATTACAGCAATAACAATGTGATTGGGAATAAATTTACCCATGATAAGATCATACAGGCGTATACTTATACACGTGCATGTACAATACAGTGAAGAACACAGGAGTAAAATGCTAAAATATTAACCAAGGTTTTAAGATTTGAATGTTGCAATTTATGCAAACTGGGTATTGTAGTTTGGAAAGAAAAAAAAATCGAAACCCCCCATTGACTCTAAGATATTTTGAAGTATGAATAATTTTCTGCTGTTATTAATTGTTTATCCCCCAAAATACCAAAGTGTGCCTTTCAGGGTACAGTAACACCGATTCAAGGGCGTACGTGACCGTTCCGCGTTCTATTTATAGAATCACACTCCGGAAATACCAACTTCTTCTTCTTCCTGATATTTGAGAGGAAATGACGACTCCAATTAAAACAGGGTTAAATAGAAATCATGTTAATCTAAAAGTTAAAACTATGTACGTTGGGTTAAAGATGATACAAGAGTTGATGTGACTGGGACCAGGCGAACTTGTTATAGAAATTAAGAGTGGATACATGTAATATATCTATTTATGAAAAAAGAACAAACATTTATGGATTTGGAAGTATGGAATACAAAATTGATATTCATCTAAAAAGTGTCCAGTTTTTGGTACAGTGATATTGAATATAAGGGTTCTGGCCTTAAGTGGGAGCGCTTCGCCTCCAAAAGAGTATAAAAAAATATATATATAAGATATAATTCCCTTAATTTAATTAAAAGAGTATTTCTAATTATGATGAGTAATTTCTCCAAGAAAGAATTGCTTTGCCATCTTCAGCTGTGCCGACATAAAAGAATTGCTGTCATACAAAATATAGTACCACTTATTTACATTTCA